GGATGAGGATGAGGATGAGGATGAGGATGAGGATGAGGATGAGGATGCGGATGCGGATGCGGATGGGGATGAGGATGAGGATGAGGATGATGATGATGATGATGATGATGATGATGATGATCATGATCTGATGATCTGATGATCTGATGATCTGATGATCTGATGATCTGATGATGATGATGATCATGATCATGATCATGATCATGATCTGATGATCTGATGATCTGATGATCTGATGGGTTGCAGACCTTTCCTGAAAATGCTGATCATGCTGACTCCCGACGGCTACTGGTTTACTGGGATGCATCCTCTGGATCCGGATGTCCCGGGCAAGCCCGTGTTCAACCGGTTGAACCGGTCGGTGATAGAGCATAGAAAGACCCTTCTTCTGGAGTCCAGGCTAGACTTCAGAAGGGTAAGTAGCATAGGGGTTCCCAACAACCAGAGACCATCTTGAATACAGCGCGTGGGGACAGTCATGCAAGTGCTGCGGGCTGGACCAGTGCTTCGATTTCAACACCCCAAATTTACAGGGAAGTGTTGGGCCCACCATTTATGTAGCTCAGTCTTAGGGAGAGAGCAGCCCACCGGGCCTTTTCAACCGAAAAGCAGACCGTCCGGACCTGACTCAATCGATCTTGCCGTCTCGATTCCTGGCAAAGGGTCAACCGGTGAACCCGAACTTTCCACCTCGGCGATCTACGGAACATGTAACAGAATAGACGAGCGGTCGGTCGGTGACATGGGCTCCTGCCATGACAGCGGACAAGGGGGGAAACCAATCGGGCGCTCCACTTGTCGGGTAGGATGGAGATGGATGGAACACTTCCACCAAGGCTCTGGATGGAGATGCAAAGCCAACAGCCCAAGAGCCTTCGTCCACGGGTGATGCTCAAGCGGCTCTGACGCAAGACCTTCATGGACTCACCTCGTGCGCTTCAGCAAATTGGGTACCAAAACACAGCCACCCCACCGAGGAAACAAATGCATCTACTCCTGCAGCCCCATCCAGTGCACATCGGATATGTTTGACCAATCGTGAATTCGAAGGGTGAGTGCAAAACCCACCGAATGTCGGAATTGGCCACGGTGCCATGGAGCATTCGATTCTGCGAAGGACACTGTGGATTGGATTTGGATCTCTAAAATTTTGAGACATGGAAATTGGAACCCACCTGGTATGCCGCATATTATATGCCTCAGTCGCATTTTGCGACAGGTCATCCAGTCCAGTGGCAGACACAGTGGAACATGGAACACTTCATCCCGGATTGGTCTGGAAGAGTCTCTAAGCTGGTCATTGCCCACCTGGCAAGTGACTGGTAGCAATGCACTGGGTGCATGAATGACCAAAATTAAACCATCAGTATGTCCAACAAGTCGTGTTATGTAGTCACACGAGTCCTGAAATTCCAAAAAAGAGCCTCCATCCTCTCAACTTGTCAACCAGCCCAACCAAGCACTCGGACCCGACTGATTTCAACTTCCGATGGACTGATTTCATGAAACTCTTCCGCGATCTGGCCCAACATCAGCACGGTGGCAAAGGACTTCATCACGCTCAACGACTTTGAGGCGGAATTCGGCAGTAGCCATACCCCCGACCTGAAGGGCCGAAGGTGTTTCAGTGGGCCGAGTTCCCCCGACCTGAAGGGCCGAAGGTGCTTCAGTGGGCCGAGTTTGGATCAAAACAAGCTTCGCTACGAAGGGGTGGCATCGCGACTCGAACGGAGCGGACGGTGACCAGACTCTCCCCAGTTCCTCCACTTAGCTTGTCGGGTGCACCGAAAACACGTAGGAATCAGGCAGTCCAATGGAGGTCCCTTAGTGTAGGGCCTGTAGGGGCTTCCATTGGTGACCCTTTTGAAGGTGCTGGCAGGTTTAGATATTCTTCAAAAATATGTGGTGCTTGCCGGTAGCGTATTCTCCACAGGAACCTTCCCATCTCGGGTAGTGCGGAGATCTGCGGGTATGTGCCCCCACCAGGCCCTGGGCCTCCGGGCGCAAAGAGGTACTGAGGAGAGGCGAAGCAAATGATGTACAAGACCTGCTTGTTTTCAACTTTGGGATGCAGATGGATGCAGGGTGTGAGCTGTCATCTGTATTGGACCTGTTAAATATGGTTAAAAAGTAAATGTAAATAAATAAATGCCCAGCTAAGCTGAGTTCCGGGACCAAGAACTAATTACAAATGCTTCGTTGTTAAAAGATCGATTCCTGATGCTGCTTATCTAACGAACAAGCCAACCACTTAGAAGTGGATATTTAAGGATCCAGGTGGGAGGTTTCAAACTAAAGGCACAGGGGAGGTGAGATTTCCTTCAACCTGCGTAGGTAAACAGAACAGGCTTCCGCGGATGACAGGAACACCCCAAGATACAAGGACGAGCATGATTTTTCGACCATATCGTCCACCTTAGAAGGACCCTGTTCTTTCAATCCACCCACACCGCTTCCCTGGTGAATCAGTGAAGGAACTTTAAACCGTGCCCGGAACATGACTCCGACATCTGACATCTATGTATAACGGGGGCATAATCCAAAAAGAAGATAAACGACTAGACGAACAGGAAGACTTTCAGTACAGTTCTGACAAACAAAATGCCTCATCTTTCATCCTAGTCGAGCTTCAAAGTTGGAAACTCACAGAAAGAACTTAGATGGTGAAATCCTCTATCAGGTCATACTCTCCGCTCCGCTCTCCATGCATGAAATCGTGAAACACTCTCCCACGCCGACGTGAAATTCAACGTTGAAAAAGCGTCCAGGGCACCGAGAACTGCAAGACACCGATTGGAGTGATCAGCATCATCGGCATCCAAATACTCACCTGAGGGACTCAAAAAACAAACACCTCAAATGGCAAACCCTACTCAGAGTGTCTGTTTCCATAGGGGCCCCCATGGTGTGCCTCTGTGCTTTGGAAACAGCCGTGAAGAAGTTCCCTGCGGTCCAAGTGATTATGTGAGTACAACCAACTCCTAAGTACCACTTATCCAGCTTTCAGGACCAATCGCAGACATCCACCACGTTCCTGCCAGGTGTTCCGTCTTCCTGGTGTCTTCCCACTCCCCCTTCAGACGGAGATGAACATCTCCACGCTGCGGGTTACGGTCCATCCGGTTAAAAAGCAATTCTCAATGGGAAAGGAGTGGACCCCAGGATGCCCAGGAGGAAGAAACCACTGATTTCTTAAACGATCCAGGTTGAGATGATTAAGGATTGGCCCAGAAAGCATTCCAACTGCTCCGATGTTGGATGGCTCCTGGCCGGACACACCACATGCTGAATCCGTCAGGAGGCCCCTCGCAAAGCACAAACCAGCACCAGGCTGAAACAGCTTGGAGTCCTGGGAGGCTGTGCACATCGGAATTGCACCCAGCTACGATGTATTGCCAGGACTTGTGATGAGAGCTGGACGAGTAGAGGCTTTGACCTTCGAGAGATACGATATAGGAGTATATGATACAGTATATGATAGTATAATTACAGTATACGGTGTCAGTGTGTATCAGTGCAAAAGGAATGAATGAGCCCCTGAATGCACTCGTGGATTCACCATGGTTCACCAACCAACAGAACGACCCGAAAACCCTTGGATTTCTGGGCATTTCTGGGCTCCCTCGGATCAGAACAATATCAAGACCACGATCCGTCTCCCATGGCTGAGGAGGTTCGCGTTCACACCCTCATGGGGGGGAGTGTCCTGAGAGCAAAAGGCTTGGTTGCTTCTTGTTCCGTTCGTAGTGTTCTTGTTCCGTTCGTAGTAAGGCCAGGAGCACCCCCGGGCATCGTAGCCACGATGCCATGTCGCTCCGTTCGATACCGCGATGCCCTTTGTTACTTCATCCACCTGATCCTGGACGCTGGTGAGATATGTCTCTTCTGGGCGCCGTACTTCCACCGATTCAAACGTTGGAGTTGATGTTCGCATCGCTTTCACCGGTTCTTCGTCCACTTCGCCGGTTCTTCGTGGCGCCACCGGTGGCCGGTATAGCCGCTCATGATACAAGCGGCGCTCAAACATCTCAAGATATGTAAACAAAGAATTACTATATCGAATCATATCTTGTAGATGTTTGATATTACTATTATATCATATTTGATATGTCAGCCCGGTACTTGTAGATCATCAAAAAACCGTTTGCAAAGTCTTTTGATGATCTGCAAGCTGCAAGCTGTATCCCAAACTATCGCGCCAGCAAGCCGAGGATCAGTGAGGCAGTGTAAACAGCCTCATCTGAGCCAGCCACATCGTACCAACGCAACTCCTCGGAGGAGTAGAGGGCCAGAACGTACCCGAGGAGTAGAGCAGGGCAAGATCAAATTGCCGCGCCAACTCTTTTGATCTATTTGGTGGGGTGAAAGGCGATCAAACCTTGCTTTCGATTTGATGTGGCACAGTTGATGGGTGAAAGTGTTGATGGGTATGGCCCTATATATTGCCCAGCTAGAAACTGATGCAACACTGAAACGATTTTGGGAGACAAATGACAGGTCCCTCAAATTTAAACCATCATCCTAGAAAAGGGAGGGTTCAACTGTTCAAGCTCCAAACTCGAATTGTTTTGAGGAATCAAGTAGCACTGGCAATCAAAGCCCTATACCCTTTGCAACACTGTTTGTTTCCGAACACCGGCAGCAAACAAACGCAACAGTTCTTCATGTGCAAAGTTTTCCTGGGCCACTCTCCCTCTCTGCACAGTCACTTAACTGGGTATGGCTCAAGACATCATTTCAAGCTCTCAACTTGAGAACTTCGGCCTTTCTTCACATCTCATGGCCCATCTCGGCCCATCTCCCACTGATCTCGGTCCAGGCACCGACTCGATCTCACTGACCTCACTGACACGCGCATGTAGAGGAAGACTCAC